AACACAACGTGGTGCGATCATCCCCCTTGCGCGGAGTGAGGGTTCTCCACCCCGCACAACATGATCTACTCGACCACCATTATGGTTACCGCCAAAAAAAACCGGAGGTGAAAAAAAAAACGGTAACCTGGTTGCCGAGTTCACGAAGTGAATTGGCTTGTTTTACAACGTCGTTGCCAAGCGACGAAACCCAATCCCGATGGCAAACACCGGGGGCGGCGGCTTGTTTTACAACGTCGTTGCCAAGCGACGAAAACCCAACCCCGATGGTAAACACCGAGACGGGGGGCCAACGAGACCGGGGAGGGAGATTTGAGATTTATCATCTGTACCATATGTATAGCATACACACACAAACAGCTGTTTTCAAGTATCCAGCCATACAGCACAGCTGATCGTCGATTAGACAAGAGAAGAGTAAAGCAAAAAGGGCAACGACAAACACGGACTGGCGCAGCTGAAACCTCCTGCTGTTCTTAAATACCTGTCGGATGAGTGCGCTGCAACCTTCGTAGTGCTGTACTGATTGAATCGCGTCCGAGCATCTCTGCAGCAGTAGCCGAACAGCACCATCCATCACAGAGCAAAACAGAAAATTCAGCCAGTGCCCAGCAGCCACAGGCATGACATAAAACATATCAGCACAGCGAGCGGCAGGGAAGGAGTTCAACGGCAGCATTATTGTAGTGCAGCAGCAATATACGCACGATTGTGACGAAGCATGTGTTACGACGCACTATGAATAGCACCGCAAACAAAGTTAACCTTACCAAGGCAGTTGACAATTGGCTACGCGCCCACACGGCTTTGTACGTTGCCTGTACGTGCCACAAATCAGCCCTACATCAGTACCTGGCTTATGAAGACAACCAACAACAACCTGAATATTACTTAAAAGTCAGTCAACTTTCGGAAAGTGGCATGATTCTCTGCGGTGTTTGTAATATAAACGTGTAAACATCTCACAGGACCAAGCCCTGCTGTTGCGTTAAATCGCGTACATATGCTCGTATCGTGCACTCGTAGTAAAGAGCATGCACGCATACATGTGGCATCGAACCAACTCGAATAATCTCCGCCTTTCGCTGCAAGTGCACATGTTTTTATGTATGCGTATGTGTGCATGTGTACATTTTTCGCTGCTGTCGGCAATACACCCACGAATGATCTGATGTGCACATGTGCACGTCTGTAAGCTGTAGGGCCACACCGGGCGCAAGAGGGTTATCCTCAAGCAGTGCACTGCGGCCGGAGGAATATCCAAGGCATTGAAAGAAATAAAAACTTGCCAACATGTCTCTTCAAGGTAATGACCAGGCCCAAACGTTTCGAACTCAGAATGAGCTCACAGTCCATAGGCACACTACTGCTGTCGACACGGCTAGAGCATCAAATTGCCACATCGCCTACTTGTGTAACTGGTAGGCCTCACCACGAGTTCACAGCAGCAGTGACTCCGTGTCCTTTGCAAAATTCAACACCTCCACGCTTCACCATTACCTTGATACAGATATAGCCGTTAAATCTCGACTGACCTACACCTGACCACAGGGTAAGTATATGACGTATGTGCGTGAATGAAGTCAACCGACGGTTCGACTCGACTCGCACCACCTCCGATACCCAGGGTTTTTGGCAAAAGGTGAAAGTCTACGCGTTTTCGCACGTGCTATCTACCGCTTGACGCAGCAACACATTCTTCATGACCATCATGGCCACCTCATGTGTGATGCCTGCTGCTGCCTGTGTGGGTTGATGGAACACACATGTGCATACAACACCTCGCGCCCACCTCTACGACAAGGCAGAGTTGCAGGTACAATTCTCCATCTTGCCGCTCCTGGCCATCCTTCGGAGATCCCTTCGGCTGCTGCTGCCCTCGCTCGCTGCCTGCTGCAAGATCCAAGGACAGAACAATCGGATCGAATCGTGCGTAAGCTACTGCTTGCGCCGGCGTGGTGTCATAACGCGATAGAGGACAAGAGAGAGCCGAACAGAAGGGATAGACTACGGCGCTATGGTTCCTTCCTGCCTCTTCGTCTGACTCCGCGGCAGATTTCCTCTCTCCGATCGGAGAGCAATTTGGATAACATGACACATGAGAGAGAAAGAGAAAGAGAAGCGCCTCCTCGATGTACCAAGCGTATGTGTCGATCGCACGATGCACACGATGCAACCCTGCCAGCAGCAGCGGAACGGGAGGAACTGCCGGTGGGATGAGGGATACATAAGGAGTAGGCAAAGCAACCGTCGCTGACAATTCATACATCCAGTTTGAACGTTTTTATCCTCGTGAACACCCCATCATCATCATCGAGAGCGACCCTTCGGCTTGAGCGATGTACATGAAATAGTTCGGTTATTCTTTTTAGGGCACCTGCGGAAGGGAGAGTTACAACGTTTCAGCAGCAGCAGGAGCAGGGAGCACTGCAACGCAGCTTGGCCACCAACCTCATGGCGACGAATGGGTCATCAGCGACTGACTGTACTGCTGTCCAACCGCAGTAGCCAGTGGCGAAAGCAAGCTGTGTTGTTATCAAGGCTTCAAATTTACAAATTTACGAGGTCCGCGTTAGGTGCGGCGGGGTAGCCGCCGCTGCGCTCAAAACACAACCATTTTTCTTGCATTTTGCAGAGCTCTTCTCTCTGCCTTCTCGGCTTCTCCATGTTTATCCAACGAAGTGTATACGGCACCCAACGCCATCACAGATACATGAGGGTCGCGCACAAGCACTCCTTTCTTGCGTTCGAATTCCAGTAGCATTCGTGTCCGTTCGGTCGCTCTATCATCATTTTGATCGATCTACTTATTATAGTAACTTGTTGAAACCGCGTGGCGCTGCAACGTGTTTTATCATTCATCGCGAAACACCAACACCGAACACCGCCGGATACACTTGGTCGCCGTTCACACACACCTTTTCTCTCGTCGACGAGAGGCGGCAGGTTGATCTCGTACCCCGCGTGTCCATCTCTCCAGAGCAGCCGCATCAGGTTTCCCATGAACAGCCCGCGCGGTTGCTGCTGTGTTGCTGAGTTGCGGAGGCCGCCTGCTGATTCGAGCGCCGAGAGGAGTTCCAAAGAGACCCTTGTGTGACGCATGCGCGAAACGGCACAACAAACACGTCGTCGTGTTGATGGAATGAATCAACCAAGGACTGGGTGGTTATTCTGTAGTGTAATTATTTTTCCTCGTGAATCAGGACCGAGCACGTCGCATGATTTCTATGAGGATGCTTGCATACGTGTCACTTGTAGATGGTAGCTCCTTACCTTTTCCTCCGCGGGACCAACGACATTGATTGTAGGGAAAACGACACAACAGGGTATACCCTGGTCGAAAAGCGACACAACTGGGTACACACTCATTAACAGCAGAAAATGCGCTCATTTGATTGGTCACCGCCCAATTTCACCCCGGTGCGTCGCTTTTCGACCAGGGTATACCCTGCCGTGACCACTTTTCTCAAAAACTGTACCCTGTTTTCGAAAATGTACCCTGACTTGTCGGGAAATCAGACCCTTTCATCAATCATTTCCCCCGCAGGAATCTCCCAACTCCTTTTCCCCTCCAACCATGAGATACCAAACGGCGCCTCTTCCCGCCCAATAACAACCATGGCAACGGGGCAGGAATCAGTTTCCGCCCCTGCGAAACAACACCAACGATCAACTCTTCCGCTCTAAATCAACAATGGCCGCCGGGCAATACCCCAGCACAACTCTGTTCCGTTTGGAAACATGCACACACGTACGATACCCCGTGGA